TGACTATATTAACCTCATAAAAATGACAAGTAATTATTTACAAATAATTTGTGTTCAATAAAATGAGGGTAATTTGGGTAGTTATTGGCATAAATTACATTATTACCTTAAAACGACAACTAATTTAAAACAAAAAAAAAACTGTAAAACGACAACTATTCGAAAACGGAGGGAGTAGTTGACAAAAAAATTGTATTGTATTTGGTACTTAATTAACATGTTATAGATTCTGCAGGTGCCAAGATTCCTTAATTTGTAGCAAAAGATCAGCTACAATTCAAATTTTTTTTTCTTTCTGAAAACAATTATTTTCATGTATTTACTCAAAAAAAATTCAAATCTATGAGTTCATATATATAGTATTTTTTTTTTAGTTTTTAATTTGTTGATGTCTAATTGGCATTGTTATATATTTAAGATATTTCCCACCCAAAAACAATTTTTTATTTCTTATATTACATTTTATGGAGGTTTTGTGTGGATAAGTTTGTAGGTTTGAACAAGATTTATTTGTTGAATCGCACAAAATACATGAAAGCTTTTTATGAACAAAATCTCATTATTGAATAAATGGAAGTTTGTTTGGTGCAATTAGCAAGGTGTTGACCATTGACTAAGTTCCATATTCAAAAGTTGTCAGATTGGAAAAAATTGTCGAAGGCATTGGGTCAGATTAATTGCACAGAAAAAAAAAAGATGAACAGAGATATTCGAAATCACATCCTAACTCTTTAAGAAAAAGAAAAAAAATGTTATAAAATTGGAGATTAGGTAATATGATAATAGTAGGAAGATGCCTAACACGTTCTAAGGCCATTCTAATATGTATATATTTGTCAATGATCAAAGATGGGTATAGATGTTAGGTGAAACAAATCTTTACAATATTCGAAAAGATGAATACATACGAAAAAAACAACAATTTTGATAAGTAACTCGTATATAAAAGCGAAATGGTCAATGATAGAACAAGAACCAAATAGTATAATCACTAAGCTATTAATTTATTTGACCAAAACATTAAACATATTTTAGGAGATCGGAAGAAAGAACAGAATTCAGAGGTGGCTTCTAGAGGCGGCTCAGACTAGAGCGTGCCATGTTGAGCTTTGATAATCATTATCGTGTCATGCAAAAATCCCAAATGGTGAGACAAAACTGTATTACAAGTAGTTACAACAACAACCCAAAGAGGAACCAAAACCTAAAGACTATTAGCTTCAAAGGAGGGGAAAAAAAAACTTAAAAGAATAGGTACCATATGTTATTTTTTAATTACAACTAAATATACATTGAATAGATGTTTGAATTAATGTTTTTTTTTTAAAAAAAATTGTTCTGTTTAACCACGTTTGCAAATAATTACTTTAGAAAAGTAGTATTTTTTTGGTCCAGATATTTCCATGACAGATACATAGTCTTGTTAAGATATGCACGTCAATGACAAAATATTCAAAATTGACCCTTAAACCGTCGTCGGAAAATCGAAACTTTTTATAATCCACTTTTGATTACTATATTACTAAAAGCTTCCTTGTATATGAAATGAAATGATCCAATTATGAAAGCATTTACAGATTGTAGAAGATAACTAAACTACTTCACATTGTCAAGTTCCAACTTCCAAGCCCGTTATCATAAATTTGGGCCTGTTACTCTTCGGCCCATAACGTCAAAGAAATTGGCTTATCCAGCCGACATGGTATCCAACCAACTGCTTAAGCCAGAAGTACTTAATATATTGACTGTTGAGCTTAGAAACAAAAAAGAAGCACTTAATAGAAGTTTAAATTCAAATTTAGAAAACAATTAAAAATAAATAATCTACTCTCTAGTCTCCAATGTCACATTACTAGTTTCTCTCTCTCTCCTCCTCCAATGCTAGAGGAACTCAATCACCTTCGACAAAAGGAAAAACCAACTCATAGATCTTTTTGTATTTGTACAGATACATTTTAACATGCTTAAAAACCGTTTATTAATACTTATATACTATTGAATAAAATGATGCAACATGAATCTCGACCCATATTCATCCTCATAAATGACGTCAACACACACAGTGACACAGAAATATGTTATTTTCTTTTTTGCCTTAAAAGTGGAAACCAAAATATCTTAATGGCGGTAAATCCAGTCCAGACAGAGGAATACGTTACCAGCCTGATCCGATGAAAAGACGATTTTGCCCCTGAACACGAATTCTGTTAAGCTAGTCACCGGTCTATTGAAACTGTCATATGGACTACTAAATGTATAAAAAGATGCAAGACGTGTGTGTCCCCATTCACTTTTATATACTAATTCACAGCATATCCACAATTTGATCTGTCACACTTCATTTAATGTTAAAGATGAACAGAAGCTGCAGGAGGTTTCCAATACCGTAAGCAAACTAGGAAAAAATAAAAATTAAAAAAATTGGGATATTATCTTTCTAGAAGAATTTTTAACAAGTATAAATATACGCTATGCATGTTGCATACTCTTTAGTAGTAGTACTAAATAAACAAAGAGCAAAGAAAGAAAGAAAATCATTTTAAGCAAACAAACAAATAATGGAGGAAACGAATAAGAGTTTGCTTGATGATTCTTTTACAAGTGCAATGACACTTACCAATTCAGGTGTGCCTCAAGTCCCTGATCGTTACGTTCTTCCCCCTTCGCAAAGGCCAGCTCTTGGTTCAAGCTTAGGCACCACTGAGACAACACTTCCTGTCATTGATCTCTCTCTTCTAAACCAACCTCTGCTTAGATCCCGCGCAATCCACGAGATTAGCATGGCCTGCAAGGAGTTTGGTTTCTTTCAGGTAAATAAGTCATGCTTTATCAAAAATCCAGCAAGTTTGGTGTTTATTTCGTGAAAATTATTCCTCACTTTCATCAAAATTCAGTCCAATCACATCTACCAATCACACTTCGGATATGACTTGGAAAGTCGGCTTTTGTTTCCTTGCATTTATGTCATAGGAATAAAGCCCCTGATCAGGGCAAACAATAAAAGAAAAGACAAAATCCTCAATCTTAGTCTTAAATGAGAACACAAGTTGCATGCATGCATGTTTTCTCTACTCTGTACAAAACTAAGAGATAAAGGCCCTAACTTTTACTTCCCTACAGGTTAGAAACCATGGAATACCATCATCAGTGGTTAAAGATGCCTTTGATGCAGCAACACAGTTCTTTGACTTACCTGTGGAGGAGAAGATGCTTCTGGTGTCTGCAAATGTTCATGAGCCAGTAAGGTATGGCACAAGCCTTAACCATTCCACAGACAGAGTTCACTACTGGAGAGATTTCATCAAGCATTACTCTCATCCACTCTCAAAGTGGATCAATATGTGGCCATCAAATCCTCCATGCTACAAGTAAGTAAAACATACTTTTAGGCCAGCTTCAGTATCTCAAAATTTACAAAAGCTAGCTCTCTTTGGAAAGAGTTGTAAGAAATCTTTGAGTGAAAACTGATATTATTTTCTGATTTACTCCTTCCTTTCAGGGATAAAGTGGGCAAGTATGCAGAGGCAACACATGTGCTACATAAGCAATTAATAGAAGCTATCTCAGAAAGCCTGGGACTGGAGAAAAATTACTTACAAGAAGAGATTGAAGGAGGCTCACAAGTCATGGCAGTGAACTGTTATCCAGCATGTCCGGAACCTGAAATCGCCTTGGGAATGCCACCACACTCAGACTTCAGCTCACTGACCATATTACTTCAAAGTAGCCAGGGACTCCAGATAATGGACTGCAACAAAAACTGGGTTTGTGTGCCGTATATCGAAGGAGCTTTGATAGTTCAGCTGGGAGATCAGGTAGAAGTGATGAGCAACGGCATATACAAGAGCGTCATTCATCGTGTAACAGTGAACAAAGATGTCAAAAGGCTATCTTTTGCAAGTCTTCACAGTCTACCTCTGCACAAGAAAATAAGTCCAGCACCGAAACTCGTCAACGCAAACAATACACCTGCCTACGGAGAGTTTAGTTTCAACGATTTTCTTGACTACATCTCAAGCAACGATTTTATACAAGAAAGATTCATTGATACAATAAAGAAGAGCAGTTCCTGAAGATGATGGCAAAGAATGCCACAGAATTCAACAAGGCAATTTGCATGGCTCAGTCTTTTGAATTAAGTTTACGATTATGGATATTGTAGTCCTTATCTGCATCCCTGATGTATCTACTCTATGTAACATTATGAAAATTATAACGAAACAGCAACCAAGTAAATGTTGTGCATGTAAACAGATAACCCCATTGTTTATATCACAGAAAAAGCTTAATGTAATGTCATAAAAAAATACTCTTTCTCTTTACCCAAGCAGTGATTCTAATATATATCCAATTCTTAAAGGATCTCTGTTTCTTTTGGGTTTATAAAAGATTTAGAAGCACAAGTAGTTCATAATTTGAGCTTAAGACGTAACTGTGTTTGATTAATGTAAGCAGCATCAACAAAGTGCTTATATGAATCACTAGAAACCATTATTGAAACACATGGATAAACCACAAATCTACAATTGGTATTATCAAAATTGAGACAAAATACGCGAAATTTTCACCAGTATATTCGAATTCTCACTAACCATAAACAACTTGAACGCTTTAGGAATTCAATTATCAATTGTCGATCAAACCAATCATCCAAAGTCTATCGAATTTCTTAAAGCATGATGGGATCGATACTTACAAAAGATCCTCCGGAGACTAATCAACGTCGCGCGTCATTTTCCGTTAAGCTCTCTAACTACGGCCGCCTTGGCCTCTCGATTCCGGCGGCTACTTCTCGTCGCCAAGGAGCTCTTCTTTTTTTTTTTCCCCCCCGGTATTATCGAGTAATTTCTTTTTAACCGTACTTACTTTATCATTTACCGTAGCTTTTTTTGTCGGCTATCTCTTTTACTTTACCACAACTAGTCTTTTTTTACCCGAACCACGAATAATTTTGCTGAACATCTATAATTAACTGTAATCTGTTGTCAAAAAAAATACTATACTTTATCATTACGAATAAGTTTCGAACGATAATATTCTTTACCTTACACTAAGATATCAACGGCCTATTTGCAGTAGAAAAATTGGCTTCAACATATAGACAACATTGTTAAAAGTAAATAAAAATTACAGTCGTCATAATTAATAACACTGGTGTTGTATAATCAATCTCTCGACGATGGGATAAATCAAGCCTTTTTTCTAAATTTGGCTTACTTTAGAAGGTAGAATCTCTGTGATACATTAATGTGAATAAGTGATAAATCAAGCGTGTATAAAAAAATTTTTTGGCTTAACTTATATAACAATAAGTCAATAACTCTGATCACTTGGGCTTGCAAATATGTTACTGCATGAAAATCTATTAATATTAATTCACACACTGCGTGTAGTAAGAAGTCAAAAACAACCAAATTAACCATATATAATTAGCTGTTAAGTTTTCCTTCTCAAAATCAGTTTTTTTGGCAAAGACTATAATATAAATACAAGAGAATTCATAAACTAAAACATCTACGATGAGGGGAAAACATTATACTAAAATATGTTATTCCAAATTCCGAAAACAAATTACAACCTTAATAACATTCTTGCATTTTAAATCCACACTCAGTCTAAAACAAAAATACTGATTAAAAGTTTAAAACACTTTGCAAAACATAAAAATCACATGTAGAACATAAAATCATTTTGGCATAATTAAAAGAAGGATCACAGAAAAACAAAAGAAGGATACATATGCATTTTCTTAACAAATCAATATTAACTAACTTCAATGAACCCCAATATACATAAACAAAAATTGGCAAAAAAATAGCCATTGCTCAAACTGCAAATGCCATATACCATTTTTTTTGCAATATCAGATTTCACTTTTTGAAAAAAAATATTAAGATAATATATATACACATAAATCCTTCCTTCTCTGAAACCCATTTACTTAATTAGAAGTTAGAACATCAGTGAAAATATCGACCATTTATCTAAAGTTGGCTTACCTTGGTCTGATCTCTTGGTTTTGCAATGTAACTACATGCAAGAATATCAATTCACACACGGCGTGTAGAACGAAAAACAAAATTTTGACCATAATTAGCTGTTATATTGCGTTATCGAAATCAGTTTACGGCGAAGACTAAACTAAATACGAGACGATTTCTAAACTAAAAAATTTAGGACAAGGGGAGAAAAAGGAAATTAAAATCTGTAGTTCCAAATTACGCAAAAAAAAATTAAAACCCTTAAACTCCTTGCATTTAAAATGTACTAAAACAAAACTATTGCTTTTTCACTTTGCAAAACATAAATATCACGTAGAACATAAAATCATATTCGCGTAAAAAAAAGATCATATTTAAAAGGAGGAACATTAAAAGAAAAATAACAAATTAAAAGGATGAAGTTTGTTGAAGCTAAGATGCGAAATCTCCAGCTCGGACGCATTTGAGCAAGAGCAATGTCTAAGTACGTACCTACATGCATTCAGTGAATATAAATATATATATATATATATATACTAGCTAGTCTTGATCATCAATTTTCAAGATATATGAATAATATATAAGAGCAAGGAAATCAGCAGGCGTGCATGAAATCAGCAGGCGTGCATGAAACTATCTCGGTTTCAACGGCGCATGAGTACACAAGTTGAACAAAATCAGCTCATGTTATATATCATGAATGCGTTTTGGCAACATTATGCGTCATTCCACCAATAGAGTTGTTATAAGCATAAAAGGTCAAACAAATTTTTTAAAGAACTTTTTGTATTCGTATGGTTTTTATTTATAGTTTAGCCCATTTGCCACGGGGAATCTGGTTCCATACTTGCATTATAGTATATTTTATGATCTTTTATACACACAAAACCGGATAAAGATTTCACAACTTGTATCGCTTTTATTTACTTACTTTGTTTGTTTCTGTACATAAGAAAAAATAGCTCCAATTAAACTACTTTACATAACTATTAATTACATCCTACTTCACATGTTATATTGTTAATCCGATATACAAAGAAATAATTTTCAAAAACACGCTAGACACTAAGCGGGCAGTGAAGTGTCTAACGCGTAGAACGTCTAATCGGAGTCTAAGCGATTTTTTAGACGGTTTAGACGTTTAATTATAATATAAAACATTATAAATATGATATTATATATAAAAGTTATATAAAATATCTATATAAAACAAAAATTATGAAATTATAAATAAAAACTGGACAAAACATTTATTTATATTTATATTAAACTATATATAAATAAAACTCTAATTGAAATTAAAAAAAAAATATTAAACAAAATCTATGTAATTTTAAACGGTCAAGATGATTATCTAAATGTCGCATGAGAATCTAGCGTCTAGTCGGATCTAAACAACTGCCAAAAGACGGTTCAGGGGAGACGTAAGAGACAGCACAAGTTTTGTCTATTTGGGTAAAAAAATTATATAAATACAATTTATGTCGTTTTGTAGACAGAACTTTATAACATGCAAAAGTGAGTATTTAATGTTTTTGACATAGGCACCGCATGTAGTAGATTCTATTTATTTTGCTTTGTTTTAGAATCTTTCCAAACAAGAAACAACGTACGATACGATGGTTTTGCGAATACCACTGTCCAGGCAAGTACAACGGTCGTCAAACTTTTAACTATACGGAGTATCATAAATAAAAGTTAGCAATTCAATGGTCAGAGAATATTACTCATTGTGCGATCAAATTCTTTGAACTCTGCTTTATTTCCGAGTTCCTAAAAGTAAAATCCTTATCCACTTTGTTTCATAACGACAAGAACGCAAGACAACGCGCCATTTTATTTTATTGTTTTGTGTAGGTGAAGGATTTTACACTAATCTTTTGAAATATGTGAAAAATTCAAATTAAATTATTAACACGTTTATGAAGATGAAATTGAAACGTAATAAATAAATTGAAAGGAATCAAACTCTACTATAAACTCTTCAAATAGCTTTCCAATGATTTTTCAGCAAAAATAAATTCTTAATGAGGGTTATCATGAAATGATCCATATACAAGCTTTTTTTTTTGTTAAAACGGTTTTGGGTTTTCATTAACTAAAAGACTAAATGTTTATGAAAAAGTGCTAACAATATTATAAGTTTTCAAACGTTGCAAATTTGCATATGAAAACGTTGGTGGTCATGAGTGTAAACGCATATTTGTGGCTAAGTCTATGTGTTCGAGTACGTATATGTTCGAGTCTGAGTATGTATGAGGATAAAGTAAACGACACAAAGAGTTTGTTAACGGGGTTCGGTTTTTCCTACATCCCCGGGACCTAGTCCAGAACAAATCCACTAGAACAAGATTGCAATTACAATTGAATATGATATCGAGCACTACTATGCCTATCATTCTTTTCTAGATGAATAAACCACCAATAGATCTTACATCATATCTGGTGGGGCGACGCCACACACCTTGTGTGCATCTCTCGAGAATACCATGAGGCGCGCAAGTCTTCATGAAGCGCCCTCTTGGTATTTATAACAATTGCTCAACCCTAGAGTTGACAATTTTCCTATTCTACACTAATAGGAATTTTCTATTCTACACCAAAATAGGAATTGACAAATTTCCTTTTTCTTTATGGACAAGAAAACTTTGTCTTCACGTTCTCATCTTGAATATACTATTCAAGATGTTTATCCAGCTCAGCAGACATCTCTTGGCTTGTCCAAGTCGTCCCCAAACTTATGTACTCCAACTCTTCAAAGCAGTGTCACAACTCAGCTTCCTGTATTAATGTCGGAACTAGTTCAAGAACTATGTCAGACGTCAGATACATCCTTTGATATATCAGACTGCTGGTTTCTTGATTCAACACCATATATTCTCTGGTTTGTGTCAATCACAGTCACTTCCTCAATTCATCAATCTCATAATATTTTAGATGGATTATAAAACTCAGTCAACACAACATCTTCAATGAGATGTAGTTTGTTAATTTGATCCTATTTGAAACAAAATCACATTTATGGTTACGGTCGATTCGAGTAACTTCGGCCGACCCTCTTATATTGGTTCAGATTACCCTTTTTTTTTTTTTTTTTTTTGTTAAAGTGGTTCAGGTTACTATGGTTAACAAGAACAAAAGAAGTGTACATTTAAATATTAGTCTATACATTTGACTTTTTGTATCTAAATGGTTCATGATATCGTAATATTCGTAAATACAGTGGCGCATCCTGCAACGAATCCACCGGTGTTTATTTATGAGCTTTTAATCCACCGTTTGTTGTAACTTGTAACAATTTTAAATAATAGTGATAATAAATCGGTGCTCTTTTCATACATGGATTCAAATAGCCAGCTGTTACAACTTATACGATCGGCCGAGGGAAAAAACATATTTTGTTGATTCAGTTGGGCTAAGAAAAAATCAAGTGGGCTACAGATAATCGATGGGAGCCCAAAAGCTTGTTCACCTTTTGTTTTCAGAGGGGGATCCAATTGATTTCTCACCGGTAAAATATCCAAGAGAGATGTATTTAATCAAAAACAAATTACCAAGTTTTTATTTTTGAAATGTAAAAAATTAATTAATTAACAAAAAAAAAGATAGATATAAGAGTTTTGGTCTTTTGGACATTTTTGAACAGAAAAAGGGGCAAGTCAAAGCAAGAAATTACCGATTCCAAAGAAGGATTATATCAGTTTTGGATTTCAGTAAACCAAGCCTTAAGCTATTAATCCATTATGCCTTCATCTTCCAAAAGTTCACAAGCTAGCTTTGTTTGCCTAGGCAATGGCAAAATCAGCTGAGCATCTAAATCTTCTTACATGGTAATTAATAAATAAAGTTTGATATTAGATTTCGCATTAAACAGTTTGTATTAAGATTTTGGATTATTATAGATTCACCAAAACAGAGCTTTTTGTTTAATGTAATTTCCTCTAAATTGCAATTAAGTGTGATGTATACGTATATAAGTTAATAAACAACCTAGGCCAAACTGCCAAAGTATATAAAAGAAAATTGGAGGTTGCTTTTGCTTCACAAACAAACAAACTAACTTTGGCTAAGCTATATATATATATATATATATATAGTGAATGTAATAAGTAGAAATGTTAAGACATTGGAATATATATGACTTAATCTCACAAATCATATATATATATAGTGAATGTAATAAGTAGAAATGTTAAGACATTGGAATATATATGACTTAATCTCACAAATCATACATCCTAATATCCTATACTATTTTTAAGAATATATGACTTAATCTCACAAATCATTTATTTTTATAGGATGCATGCAACATCTGCTTAAAATTAACAAAATAAATAAAATAAAACTAGTAACCTTTATCTCTTCTCATAGTAATTTCTTGCTAATTTTCCTAACTGCTGATTTTTTGCCGCAAAACATAGATAAATCACTTAAAACAAATTCAATACAACGCGAAACCAATACACTCAAATTCTTTGTTTGGCCATTATTGAGTAATGAGTTATGAGATTGATTTGTAGTGGACGGTGGCTACATTAATTATATAGAACAAAATAGTTCTAATTGAAAATTTAAGTACGATTTGAATGATAATTGATGGACTTTGGTCAGATACAAAAGACGGCTGGATTTGGACCAGCTCTGTGGACTGAAGTGGTCATATAATTGCAATTCTGTTTATTTATTGATTAACTAATAAATTCACAAATGTGGGACTCATACGGATCCGTGGAAAGTATATTGTAAGGGCACACGCAGTAGTACATGTTAGGCCTGGGCACTCGGTTTAATCGGGTTAAACGGTTCGGTTTGTTCGGTTTGTTCGGTTTTCCGGTTTTTCGGTTTTTCAAAAATCCTGCCGAATTGAACCGAATAAAATTTCGGTTTATTCGGTTCGGTTATAGGCTAAAAAATTAATTCTGAATTGAACTGATTTTGTTTTTTTTTTCGGTTCATTCGGTTAACCGATAGTAAATAAAAGCCAATGAAATTTTTTACAAACCAATTCATCAAGCCCATAAGAACAAATTACAAACCCATGATCAAATTTACAAAAAATTGGCCCAAACCCATTAAAAATAAGGTTTCGACATTGTGAGAGAAGAGACGGTGATGTACGGCCCTTTGATCCCGTCCGACGAGACCTGTTACCAAGCAGCCGCAAAGAACAACATCATAAAACTGTAATAACCGAGGATACTAAATTTTAAGCAACTATACTTAAGAAGCGTAAAAAAGAAAAGAGTTATCAGAAGGAGAAGGATCGGCGACGTTGAAGTTTTCATGTCGTTACTAATTTTGTGAGTATTTAGAGAAGAAAATGAGAGATGTGAAGCAGATGTATAAGGTTTCACTAGGGTATGAGAGAGGTAGAAGGGAAAGTGGCTGCGAGAGAAACATTGAAGAAACACAATTTAGGTTTAGGTAATTATGTTTAGGTTTTTCTATTTTATGTAACAGATCTTGGGCTGTAACAAAATTTGGGCCTGCAAATACAGTTTAACCCATGTTACATTTAACGCCAAAGATATGCC